AGTGAGTAATTCGCAAGCTCGTTTTTCATCTTTTTCCATTGAACGGAATTTCCTAGGTTCGCCTTTATCTATCCCACAACCTTTAGCATACCCCGTTACGTGTCCATTAGCGATATGGAGAGTTGTAACTTCAGCAGGGCGCATACAGAGCATTGTTATTATATCTGCAAGAGCTTGTTCAGTAGGCCTATCAGATATACGGTACCCTTGGAGCCTTTCAAGTATAGCTTTCGGCATAAAATGGTCAGGTGGAACTGATTTTTGACATGCGTGAATTTCTCGCCTCATTTTTTGAAGTCGGTTTGATTCTTCAGTTAACCAAGGATGTTTTGTCGCCTCGATCGCATCCTCAGATGCCCCATTTTTGCGTAATTCTCTTCGGAGGTATGAAAGTCGTGAGGATTTGGCTATATCGGTAGTACTTTCATCGAAATAAGCAATATAGGATGCATCTTCATTAATTTCCATATGTGATAAATTATTATTTTTTAGGATACTTTGGGTCACATCTTTGATAGAATTCTCCTTAGGAGTATGACGCCCAGATTTTTGAAAAGGAACAAGAGCACACACCTGCTCTTCGCTATATCCTATTTGTCTAAGACGCCTTCGGGCCTGATCTCTAGATCCACGAGAAAGATCTTTAGTTAATTCATTTGCATATTTGCTAAGATCAGATGTAGCCATTTGAGGAGATAGCTTGTAGGTTTTAATGATTTTCGTCACAGCAGAGGACATCGATAATATAGTATGGTATAGTTGAATTTGTAGATTATGATTAGTCGAGGTATATATTTATAGAAAATATTTTTAAAATCGAAATTAATTATCACGAGTCGATATATATACCCAAAAATTGAATAGGTTGTGGCTAATGTAATTCTTCGGAAAATGGATGCAAACAATACATGAGATCGATTAAAAATCTTGGAATCCATAGCTCCTTTTTTTCTCTTCGTCTCTCGAAAAAAAGATATACACATATCAGTACATGCTGTTTACCTTTTTCTGGCTTCGAGCAGTTACTGCGAGAAGGCAGGAGGTCCTGAAAAAAATAATCAATATACACGTATGCCAGGTATATGATTATACTTCGTGCATAGAATCGGGTAAGTCAGATATATAATTCTTAAACATGGTAATTTGTGCACATAACTCATCCTGCTTTTTTCTGTGATAATTATCTTTGCTTTTATATTTGTCTACATGTTTATAGCATGCATTGTATTTAGACCTATTTTGCTCACCACAATCTCTACAAGGAGTAGTTATTGGAGAATTACGATGAATATAACATCTTTCTGATTTACTACGTCGACCACAGATTTTTCCAGTTCTATGAATAT